TCTTTCTTACTCTTTTGATTTTTTTTGTATATTAATCTCTTGTCTTATAATCACTTTTCATTTTTCTTCCTAATGTTGTGTTAAGTTTTGCTTTTCATTTTTAAATCTTAAAATCAACTAGAATTTATTCTGTAGAAATATCCACTGTTTCAGCATCCTAATACTTTTCTCCCTGATTTGTCATAGGTTAGATGTCAGTTTCTGGGAATTCTTCCACTTCATTGTGTTTATATCTGATTGAGACCTTTTATCTTCGAGGTTAATTTCATGGTTTTGTGTGTGTGTGTGTGTGTGTGTGTGTGTGTGTGTGTGTGTGAGCATCACCTTCTCATATAAAGCTTGAGATTTTAAGAAAATTGTGTTAATGATTAAAGATTAATTTTATGAAACCTGTCTGCTCATTTTAAAATGCAGTTTTTCTGTCAGTTATTAGATGAATTCCTAGCAGTATTTTTCAGATAGGACCTTGGAGTCGAGACTGGCATTCCTGTGCCCGAAGTTTTCCTAGCTATTGTGGTCAGAACCAGGCCTTCCTGACTGACTGACTATCCTGTTCTGTCATTGCTGTAGGCTACAAGATTGTGTAAAGGGGTTTCTGAGGTAGACAAGGACTGTAAACAGAAAGAAAGTAGCCACAGCTAGATAGAACTTTAAGATGAGCATAGGTGGGAGGGGAGGAGAGAATAGAAAAAAGATGAAAGAGGACATGGTGCTTATGGATGGAGGAGCACATAGATTTACTAGAAAGTTTTGGGAAAGGGAGATTTTCAAGAGGAAGATGCAAAAAGGAGCTCTTCATACTGGATGGATTTTGAGTCAAGGTCTTACTATGTTGCCCAGTCTTGCTCCTTGGCCTATAACTATGGTTTAACTCTGTTGAAATAAGAATAAGGTCATTTCTGAAGGATCAAAATGACATGAGAAGTTTGAGAGATAAAATACAACTTTGGGTTTATGTACTAGGCAAGCACAAAGGATTAAATTTATTTGAGAGATAGAAAAGGACTATACCTGACATTTATAGTACTCCTTGTGGAATGTTGTGAAATATTGATAAGATAAATAAATTAATTAATTAATTAATTTATTTATTTTTTGAGACAGGGTCTCACTATGTAGTTGAGACTGACCTGGAACTCATTGTGTAGCCCAGGCTCGTCTCGAACTCACAGTGATCCTCCTGCCTCAGCCTCTCAAGTGCTGGGATTACAGGTGTGCGCCACCATGCCTGGCTGATAAGATAAATTTAAAGTAAGAAAGTATATCATTTTAGTTTAATAGATTGAAATTGAGATGGGACAGTGGTAAACTCCAAAGGTTTGAGAAAAGAATTCAGAGGAAAAGTAAGTTGAGCAAATTCTTACCATTAATCCAAAATTTTCAGTGATTAAGTCAAGGGCTTGCTAAGTAGTTCAGTCTTATCTTGAATTCACTATGCAGCCCAGGCTGAATTTGAACTTAACAGTGATCCTCCTGCCTCAGCCTCTTAGGTACTGGGATTGCAGGCATATGCCACCATGTCTGGTTCAGTATTATTAATGCTCATCTTTTTGAGTGGTACATCTGTCACTTTCTAATTAGAGCATTAAACTATTGATCTCTAAAGGACAGTTACAGAATTAAAGCTGAGAGATGTTTAATATGAGCTCTATGGTATGACTTCAAAATGTGTTTGTTTTTTCTTCTTGTTTTATAGTTTATTCTGTCTATAAGTAGTACCCACTTTTCAACCTGACTTTTTAAAAATGGTTGTAATATTGGTAGTAAACCCAAGAATATTATGTACAAGCCAGGCATCGTAGCTCATGCCTATAGTCCCATCCCTTATGAGGCTGAGGCAGGGATGTCACAAGTTTGAGGCTAGCCTGTACTATGTAGCAAGACCTTGTCTCAAAAATCAGAGTATTATTCAGAATTCTCTACTACATATCTATTAGTCTACCCAACTATGTACCCCCTTATTTCTAGTAATACTTAAGGAAGTTCAAAGTTCTAATGTCACATAGAATTGAAGGTCCGATTCTGGTTATGATACTTAATAACTTGGTGATCTCGGGTGACAATTTCTGAATCTCAGTTTCTCCATGTGTAAAAGCAGAGATAATTCCTGTAGGCATGTTGCTGGAGTCAAATGAAAGTGTACAGTTCATGTAATAACTGAGATGACAACTAGGTGACAGCCACTCAGTGACTAAGGCAAGTATAGTAGTGGATATTCTGGACATAGGAGACAGTTCATATCCTTGGACGAACTGAAGGCCAGGGCACCAGGCTTCATCACAGTACTCAAGAGGGCACACAGGAGGAATTGTTTGTTTCAGGCATTTTTCACTCATATATTTAGATCACAATTCACTTGAGTAAAGGAAACTATAGGAAAGTGAAACCTAGAATAAAGCAAAGACTAGTGTGTCTTCCCTGTAACGTTTCAAGGATAAGTAAAATTATCTTGCTTTTCCCTCTGTTTCTTCTTTTTTGTATTATCTAGATATATGTGTATGTATCTAAAACATCTTGTGATGCTAAGTATTAATAAATGTGAATTATTGTTATGATTAAGCATCCCTCCCTTTTGCATGCAGTAGGCCCTAGGAATTTAGGGATAAATAAAATAAAATGGTGGCTGTGTTGCCCAGGCTGCCCTGCAAGTCTTGTGCCTAAAAGCAGTCCTCCCATCTCAGCCTGCTGAGTACATGGGATTACAGGTGTACACCACCTCATCTAATTCTCATTCATATTCTGTCTCTCCTTCCCCCCCTTTCCATTTCAGACTGGGTTTGAACTCACTGTGTGACCCAGGCTAGCATTGAGCTTGAGGCAGTCCTTCTGCCTTAGCCTCCTGAGCACCACATCTAATTTTCAAGAAGAAATTTTAAATTTTGGTTTTAGAAGCTAAAGTAAATATCATTCTGGCACTTAATATATTGACTTGATGATTTTATTGTTGTGTGGTGTACCACGTGGGAGGCTGAGGCAGGAGGATCACCATGAGTTTGAAGTCAGCCCGAAGTACGTAGAGAGATCCTGTCTCAAAAAACAAAACAAAATATTCAACTGTATGACTAATATTGACTTTTAGATTATATTTCATTATGTCTCTATTCTATATATTAATGTTATAGTCACACCTGTACTTTTTAATAGATTAAGTGTATGGGACCTTGGATCATTAACTTTAGAAATATTTTGTTTTAAGAGTAACTAGTATATCATATGCAGTATAATCTGTGTATAATTATGCATGTATAAATGCACTTTAAGGATAATGAGAAGAACGATTAAGAAACTACCAAGTGATCCAGAGTTAATTTGTTTATGTAGCAGTATTTACTGGTACTGTTTGCTAATATGCTGTGTGTTCAGGTTATAATTATCAGACATAAGAAATAAGGGAGTTACCTTGTAAAAATATAAACTGTAGAACTTGAGAAAATGGTGAGAATAATTCACAGGTAGAAGGAAAAAGATATTTTCTGCTGGTTAAAGTTAGCTGTTTACTGTAGTTTATTACTAAAATTTAAAAAAAATTAAAGATTTTAACACAAGAGGGTGCTGTACCATTAGGAACAGTCCAAACTGCCTTTTTAGCTAATTATAGTAATCCATTGAAGCCAGAATATCACAGTAATTTTCCTTTAATGTACACCACTGCTCTGCTATATTGATAAAATTAGAGTGACTAATGTTGCGCAATTGATATAATTTATGATAAATATTGATCTAATGCACTTGATTACAATGTTTTTTCTTTAAGATTCTTTTATATAATTGAAATTATGGTTTCCCCTCCTTATATTGGTTAAAATAGAAAGGGTTTGTTCTTCTATCATCTACCCAAAACTGCTTCTAAAACTAATGATACAGGTAGTGGTAGAATAAATCTTTATTATTTCCAAATTGAGAATTTGTAGGCTATATAAGCAGTTTCTTTTCCCCCTTTTTAGGTTTTAAGAGATACAAAAAAAATAACCAGACTGTGTAATAGGACTATATATTTGGGTGTACAATATCTGACTCGAAACAGTATTACCTTCAGAAGAAAGATTATTACACCAAAATGGAATTTAAAAATTTTGAGCAGATTGTATGAGTTGTACAAGATAGAAGTCTTACCTTTTTGATTGATTAAGGTATTATTCAAACAGTGGTTTTATAAATTCCAAACTTAACTATTCCCTATTTTTTCTGACTTAAATGGTGATTTTAGAGGCAGATTTAGAGGTTTATTTGATTTTTTTTTTTTTTAACCTTAAAGGATTGCTTTTAGGGATTGGTTTTTTGTTAAGTTGGATTCAATTTTACCAGTTCTGAGGAATTTAGATGTTATCTGACCCAGGTTAGATTAGACTGAGTGGCTCAATTTGGAATAAAAGGCAGTAATTTTTTTACATTTATTTTTTGATTTTGTTTTTGGTACCAGAGAATGAACTCAGATCCCTCAGCTTGCGAGGCAGGCAGCAGAACCACTGAGCTAAATCCCTAGCCCAAGTCATTTTCTTTTTTAAAAAAATAAGAAAAAATTGTTAAATCAGTACTTTCATAAAATGCTTGCAACTTTAATGCATTCTGACAAATCTCATCAGAATTTTTTTCTAAAACTTTACTTTAAATGTTTATTATGGCACTTAATACTGTAGTTCTTTAGACAATTAAGCAGGAATTTGTTCTTAGACAATTAAACAGAAAAGTGCTCCTAGCAGCAGTAAAGAAAAAGAAAACATTCTCATTCTCTTGCCCCCATGGGAGTTGAACCCAGCACCTTGAATGTGTTAATGCTTTACCTTTCTAGCCTTTTTGTAAAAAAATTATTTTGAGATAAAATTTTACTAAATTGTATAGATCGGCCTTGAACTTGGAATCTTCTGTCTCAGCCTCCCACGTAGTGGGAATTACAGGAGTGGGCTACCATGCCTGGCACATTTTCTCATTTTATGGGTAGAAGGATTTACTTTTGTTAAAGCTTTCTCATTAAATTACTGTTTTTGTTTTTAACTCCCAAGGCACCACCTTCCATGGTCAATAATGAACAACGACAGCATGCAGAACACATATTCTTATCATTTAGAAAATCAAAATCACCATTTGCAGTGTGTAAGCATATTTTGGGTAAGTATTCACTTTAAAGATATTTTGGCATAGATATATCTGGTTTTGCTATCTTAAGCATTAGTTATTTTAAATTTCTTTTAAAATAAGATGTACAATTAGTAATTTTCCATAAATGATAACTTTATTGTAGTAGCTTTAAAGATGTTCTATGAAACTAAGCAGAAAATTTTATTTTTACTTCATAGTTTACCCCCTACATATTGTTCAATAATTTGTTTTATTATTCATCATAACGTGAAGATTATTAATAGTGTATGTGTGCGTGTGGGGGGGAATCTGATGTTATTTTCATTTGTTTTCAAATGTCATACCATTGATTACTGGAAGTGTACTATAATATCTCTTATGTTAGTTTAAAAATTAGATTGTTTTTGGAGGATTCTATATTTTCTTTCAGTTTTTCCATATTTTTTTTTCTTTTTTGCCATTTGTACTCAACTTACTCAATAAACTCACTTATGGGTAGGTTATCTTTATACATGTATCATAAAGCACTGTCTTTTACTTTTGTCAAATATATATTCTTAGTTCCTTATTTTGACTTAATGCAGAGAGATGATCTCTTCTACAACGATCACAAGGGTTATAACTTTTGTTCAGAGATGGCGTTTTCCAAGAGTTTTTTGTGATGTTGCCATCTGTCTCTTAGTTCAGTAACATTAAGGGAGATTTCTTTGGTCATTATTATTTTATATACTGATTACTGTGGCTGTTTTTCTTAATTAAAGCCGTCTTTTACATAATTCATACTTAAGCCTTATGGCTTTGAAAGGTTGTCATCCAGGACCACAAAATTCATTAGTTGAGTATTAGGAGCTAAAACATCTGACCTGTTGTTCTTGTGCTTTGTGTAGGGCCTATTACCCTACAGTAATCTGTTTTCCATATTGAAGTGAACTACAATTATGATTATAGGTTTAAAATGCTTTACATACAGCTTATGAGCTAGAGCTATTAGGTTATAATAGAAAGAGTGCTGGTGTTGGAACTATGCAATCTGATTGCCAGGGGTGCTTGCTGTACATTGTAAACTTGAGGAAATCAACCTCTCTGGGCCTCTTTTTCATCTGCAGTATGGGAATAACATTACTACTTGGCTTAATGGACCTGGCTGTCTTAAGTTGTGAGGTTCACGTGTAGTAACATGTGTTAAAGAACTTTGAGAACAATAAGGTAAATGTCATGGCCCTATTAGCTCATTTAAAATAGCTTTTAAAAATATGACCAATTTAAAATGTTTTTTGCTTGCAAGGAGCTAGCAGCAATGGTGAAGTTGATTTTGTCCCATTCAGGAGTTCGGTCTCATTTATTGTAAGAGCACAGTTTTAACAACTACTTTTTCAATTCTAGATGAAGCCATTTTAATTAATTAAAAGTGATCAGTGTTTATACTTCGGTGGATTTGTTTCTGTTACTGAGAAAATTGTTACTTTATGCTTGTGTAGAATATTCAGTATTAAAAGAAACAAAATTAAAACATTTATATAAAGAGTTTAAGGAATTGTTACCTCATCCTTACTGATTTGAAATTGTGTTCAGTATTAGTAGAATTAGAAAACCATGTGTTAAACTATTAGTATTAACTTAAAATAATTTTAGTCTGGTTTTCATGGCTTCTGCTGTACCTTCATTGACAAGGATACATTCCATCATTGTTTCATCTTTCTGTTGTAATGCAGTGTTATGTTAGACTAAGGAAATGGCTGGTCTAAGTTATAAGTATTTTATTTGAGAATATTTGTTTATACCATTCTTTCCTTTCTAGAATATGTATATTTTATGACTTTGTCGATTTGAGTTTGTTTTAGATTACTTTTGTTTTTCTGATAAAACTTTCCAAAGAGTAGTATTGCTTGTTGTGGCTGTGCTTTTAAAATCAGTTTGGGTTTTGAGACATTAACTATTTATAAGGTGGCATGCATGTATGACAAGCATAATCATTAATGTACTGCAAAGCCTGTGTTACATTAATGTTTACATCTGAACTTCACAAAAAATCTTTTTTAACTCCTTACTCAGTTGCCACCAGCACAGAAGGGTAAATTCCTCTAAGAAGACTTCTCATACAAGTGGCAGTCAATCACAAATCAGAATTTTCACATTCTTATTTAGGGATTGTATGTCATTTTTATAGGTCTGGGAAATATATTCTGATAAAGGGGAGAATTTCTTTTTGATGCTTCCCTTTTCTGGCCTCTTTAAATTCTTCTCACTTCTAACTTCCGTTTTCTGTTTCTCATTTTTCCTCATTTCCTTCTGTTCTTATCCTTTTGTTTCCACTCTAGTTTTTTTCTTTGCTCTTTTCTCTGTGTGTGTGGTATATGTGTCTGTGTGTGCATGTTGCATGCTTGTGTGTTTTGTCAGAGAGTACTTTAGACTAACCTCAGAAACCTTTGGTGCTTAGGAATTTATTAGTTTCTTAGGGTCAGATATTTCTTTAAAAAATCTGTGAGTTCTATTCTGCCTGAAGAAGTAACCAAGAACTGTGAGGAATTGGTTTATCTCTTTTAGAACTAACTTCATAGCATTCTTTTTTGGTTTTGCAGGGAGAGATGGATTTCAAGCTCACTTATAAACCAGTAAAAAGTCAATTAAACTAGTAAACTTTTATTTCTCTGTATTTGGAACTTTGTTTCTTTAGTATAGCTCTCAAGTTTATCTTCTTTCACCTGAAGCTTATTATTGGTTGGTGGGCACAGGTGTCATTAAGCCAGAACAGCAGGCTTTTTGGAGCTTACATTTCCTGCTTTGGAAATCTTTTAAGGCCACAGAGGTAATTGTAGTAGCTGAATGAATATCTATGGCTTAGTTTTCTTTTTTAAAATAAACTTCTTTGATCAGATTGTAGTACTTTTTCTCTTATTTACTTTGCTTGAACTTTTGCCTGTGTGGGTCTGTCTAGTTTCAGATGGCTGACAAGATACAAATGAATTATTTTTCCATTGTTGTTTTTTTTTTTTGTTTGTTTGGTTGGTTGGTTTTGGGTGGGGTTGAGACAGGATTTCACCCCGTAGTTCAGGGTGCGCTTGAACTCACCATGTAACCTAGGCTGGTCTTGAACTCATGGTGATCTTCCTGCTTCGGCCTCCCAAGTTCTGGGATTATAGGTATACGCTACCACACCCAGGTACCATAATTAGTGTTAAAGAAAAGGCTTTCTGCAAAATGCTTTATCATTTTGGCAGCATCCTAGGTCAGCAGCAGATCTTCCTAAAAGCAGTTAAGAAATTTTAGAAGAATTTTGAGTTCTTCATGAAGACTTGGCAGTTTTGAGCATCTTTATAGCCAAGAGCTTTTTAGAATAAGACTCATGTATTTGAGAAGTTTGAGCTCATACTGGTAGGCTTCTAGAATTCCTTCTAGCTTCTTTTACACACATACTATGTAAGAAAACAATGTGAAGGGTGATAATAGTTTTTGTGAGAAAGTGTAATATTAGTTTGGGAAAATTTCTACTTTTAAATTCTGGGATTTGACTATTTCTCCCCCCAGATTCTTCCTTTCTCAAAGACAGCTTCTAGTAAGGATAGTAATTTAGAGAACTTCATTTAATAACATAGAAATATCAAAGAGGAAGAGTTTTAAAACTTCATTGTCTCTTGAAATTTTTCAAATACCATTCTTCTGTAAATGCCACCAAAATACAAAAAAAAAAAAAAAAAAAGGCTGGGATATAAGCACAAATAGTTAAAAATAAGTATATTTCGGTGCCCTTAAACATCAGAAGCTGCTTATTTAGTCTTGTTTCAGTGGTAGATGCATTTTAGAGTGGATCATTGTTGATTATGGAACACTTGTCAGCATGTGACCTCATTCTCTCTTGTCTCTTGGGGAGTCAGTTTCTTCAACTTTAAAATGCAAGAATTCATTAGATGATCTGTAGAGTTGTTTTCAAAATTCTATGAATCCTGCAGAGTTTGCCTTTTCTTAAAATCCCATGATTATGATTTCAATTTTCTTGCCCTTAAAATTGCAGTTGGACATGAGGACAAGCAAACAATCATTGTCTTCTAGATGAGAGCTTATTTGAAGTAACGTATTTCTGCTTACGTGATCTAAATAGATGTAGCCTATATTTTAAATCTTCTTTGAATAAAGTTCTCAATTTTTTTCCCTTCCTGGAACTTGAAGTATAATAAGGATCACATTTTCAGAAGCTGTTGCATTGAATTTTTAAATTTCTAAATGTTTGTGAATTCTAATTATTTCAGTTAGAATTCATGTTGAGATAGCACAGATTAATAAGCAAAACACATCCATATTGCTTCATCTTACTGGTTTTGGTATGTTGAAACCTCCTATGAAAAAAGTCTAATGTGATAGAAATTTATGTAGGGTATACCTTTTCCCCCATATTTTTATAGCTAATTGTGTCAAGACCATTTGCATGATTTTTAAGTGACCTGAGCTTGAACAGGAGATAAAACTGTGCCTGACTGTATCTTCATGCTCTTCTGATAAGTTCTTGAAGGTGCCATTCTCATGGCTTCCAGATACTCATGTCCATTGATCTTGGCAAATAATCTGGAGTCTAATTATAGACTTTTCAAGGATTTCACATGATGGTTATTTTTTGGACCTTCAGAACATTTCTATGTTTTCTTGACTTCATTTTGACTGTTTCTCACTTTTGATAATGCTGCTTGGAAACTGATAGTAGTGGTATTGGTGAATAGAAGAAAAAATAGAAAATTAATATAAAATATTTCTTAGATGTGTTAATTTTCTATTTTTTTCTTCCTGATTTAGTTTTTAGTTCAGATACTATGACATGCTAGTTAAGACTGGGTCTTTTAAAGTGTAGCTTTGGGATTTACTTAGTTTGATCAGTATGGCAATCAGAAAATTCACAAGAACTTCTCACCTTGTGTAAATACGACTTTTTTTTTTAACATTTTGAGAAAAATAACCTTAACGTGAATGTTTTTGTTTCTGAACTTGCTATTTGAGATGGGTCATCCTGCTGTGAAGACTTACTTAAAAATTAAAATTTTTGACAGCATGGCTCATCACAAATAGTAATGTTCAAGGACTAGTTTAATAAGTTTTTTTGCAGTATAAAGTTCTGGTTTTGCACAGGGCGAGAATCTCTTAGCCATTTTCTGATTGCTTTATATTTTTATTTTTATTTTTTTTAAAGCTGTGTTATTTTTTAGTTCTTCATGCTTTGGAAGTAACAGTTGAAGAGAGGTGAGGAAAGTTTGTGAAAATTGTGATCGGTGATTAGCTGCCACCTGCCTGAGGTGTCTTCTGAGAGGAACTAACCTCTTTGTGGTGCTAGAGCAAGGTCACTGGATTAAAAAAAGAACAGGTAATCATCTTATTCCTTGTCTGAAAAGTTCTGTTTTAAAATTAATAAATGCAAAATGTTCAAGGTAATGTGAATAGCTATTTAAAGAAAGCTTTCATTTTTTTCCTCAGAAACTAGTAAAGTGGACTATGTTCTTTTCCAAGCTGCCACTGCCATAATGGAGGCAGTCGTCCGAGAGTGGATTCTTTTGGAAAAAGGCAGCATTGAATCCCTGCGAACATTCCTCTTAACCTATGTCTTACAGAGGCCCAAGTAAGTACTTGGTGAAGAGACTGTTCAAATACTTTTGCTGAGCTTCTACATCTGACCTTTGAGAGTTTTGAGTTTTTTAATGGTTGATATCTGTATTTAAGCAGTGTGTGAGGCTCATATTTAAAGAATACACATCTCATTGTAGATTGTTTTCATATTTAATGAGATAGTATCTTTTATTTGAGCTTATGATACTGGGTTTTGTTTCTTAGAAAAGATTGTGCTGGATGTTAGGGGTTGTTTTTGTGGTTGTAGAGTTCTAAAGAATTTGGTTATAAATAAAAATTGATCTTAGTTATTTCTTTTTAACATGTTTTAAGTTTAGAATGGGTAAGTATTGTAAGTAGGTGAGTATCCCACCACAACAGAGAAGAGGGAAATTAAGTACCATTACCAAAGCTAATGTTATATAAAACGTTATATGAAAAAACATTGTACTCTTAAAATTTTATTTGAAAATGGATAAGGGCTGAGGAAGGAGGTGAAAGTGAATTTTTTTTTACATTGCATATATATATATATATATATACCACCACAGCTAAAAAAGCCCCACCTATGACAGCATGAGGCTTTGGAGGGATGTATAGACACAAACCATAACCAAAGGTAATGAGGGAAAAAGTAAAATATTTTGATAAGGAAAGTTATTGTCTATACAATTTTGGGGGCAAAATTGATTTGCTACTTATCTTTTTGTTTTTTTAGTCTCCCAAACATCAGCTGTTCTTTTAAGAATAAGCCAATGTCAAATACTTAAAAGACTTATTTTCAGATTCAATGAAGGAAAAGGTTATGTAATCAGAAACACATGTACGTAGAAATGGTATTAATGGGGCTAAACATATACAGAAAAATTGAAATCTTATTTAGAACATATATACTGTCATGTATTTGTTCCTACCAGCTGTCTACCAGCAGTCTTGGAATTTATATCTAATAATTATTGACTTAAATTCAGCACTTTGTTAATTGATACTTTATGCATAGAAAAATTTGTGAAAAAAAAGCACAGGTTTATGTAGGTTTTAGCAGGATAGGTTTATCAGATCATGTGTTCTATAGATTACTGTATATATGTGCTGAAGAGGTTATGGCTTACTTTTCTGGTTTTAGTAGAATCGGAGAGATTTGCTCCTGATTTTAAACCTTTCTCTTCTTTATACTGGATTGATTGACTTCTTTTTTTTTTTCTTTAATTTTTGGTTTTTAGAGACAAGGTCTCACTATGTAATTCAGGCTAGCCTTGGACTTGGTGTATAGTCCAGTTTGGCCTTGAACTTGTGGCAATACTCCTGCCTCAGTCTTCTGAGTGCTGGAATTACAGGTGTATACCATTACTCCCAGAAATGTCTTGATTTTTGTTTGTTTGGTGAGACTATTTGAATATGATAATAGCTTGCCCTTTTGTTGTTTCCATTTGGCTATGTTTGCTAGACCTGGCAAGACTGTTTGTCTTTCTACCCCTCTGTAAAATAATGGTAAATATAAATAAGTAGAAGTCTTCACACTGTCAGCAAGTTGCGTTATTTTGTTCATTTTTTAAATACACAGTCACTTCCATACATCAGAATTGCTATTATAGATTCAATGTGGAAGATACACTTATTTTGTTGAATTTTACTAAAAATGATGTTTTGTTTCATTTCTTTATGCTAGTAAAATATTTTGAAATTAATTTTGAGTGTATATTTATAGTTGAACAGAGGTTGAGAGAAAACTATATAGTAAAAAAAAACCCTAGAGATTCTTGTGTTTATATTAGTTTACATGTAGGAAAAAAATTTTTTTGGTGGCGCTAGGGCGTGAACCCTGGGCCTTTGCATTGAACTACGTTCTAGTCCTTTTTTATTTTTTTATTTTGAGACCCAGTCTCACTAAGTTGCTAAGTTACCCAGCCTGGGCTTGAACTTGTGATCCTCTTGCCTCTGCTTCCCAGAGTGCTGAAATTATAGGTAGGTACCATCATCCCTGATTTATAAGAAGATAAAAATTTTGCCTTGGAGGCCTGTTTTCTGATGTGCAGTCCATCGATGGGTAATGGATATAAATGGGGGAACTGACAAAATCTAACATTCTGTTTTTTTACCTGAAGAGCAGAGGCTTGGTCCTCCCCTCATGTGACTGGGATCCAGATCACCAGAGACCATTTTGGAGTCCTAGTTCCACAGACATCACTGTGGTCCAGTCTTTCCCAAGGGATGCAAGGAGTGTCTGGCCCCTAGATAGGTCCCTTCCTGGAGCTACCTATCCATCATTTTGTTCTAACCTAGTAACCCCAGGACTCTGACTTCTTCTTTTTTTAAAAAGTAATTAATTAATTAATTAATTTTTTTCTGCCTTCTTGATAGACACAAATATGTAACAGGTTTTTATTATGTTTTTGTATATATTTTATATTATCAAAAAAATTCCATTTGAAATAATTTTGATTAGTTCAGAAATTATTTGAGTTAATTGTAAAGCTTACTATTGAAATAGTATACTTATTTTTCCTTAATTTTGTTTTAAAAATGTTTTAAACTTTCAGCAAAATTGAAAGAATAGTATGGTGAACATAAACAGACTCTTTTCCTAGTAAAGATTCAGTTAACACTTCATTATATTTTATCTTACTCTCATGTTATATGAATGTTTCCAGAGTATGTCAGACACAATGATGCGTGCATGCATGCTTGCTTGCTTTCTTTCTCTCTTTCTTTCCGTCTTGTCTTATCTTACTATGTAGTTCAGGCTAGTCTTGAACTTACTATGTAGCCCAGGCTGGCCTGGAACTTCATTGATCTTTGTACATTACCCTTGTGAGTGGTGAGATCACAGGTGTTCATCACATGTGGCTGCTTTCTTCTTAAATAGTGGAGCAGGTCTCGCCTTCAAAGCATAATCTCAGTACTACTGACATAGTTGGTGTATTGTCCGAGATAATTCTGATTCCATTATTTGAAATCTCTGGTTGTCTGAATAGTATTAGTTATATCCTTTTGCTCTTAGTTATTTTGGGTATTGCCATCCACTTTTACATATGTATTAATATTTGCTTTATACATTTAGATACAAAAATTGTTTTTATTTGTTCGTTTTAGTACTGGAGATCTGAACCCCAGGTCTCTTGTATGCTAAGCAAGTGCTGCACCACTGAGTTATATCCCTAGTCCTAATATATATTTTTTAAAGACAAGATCTTGCTTATTTGCAAAAGCCTTGCATAATAGCTTAATAAATGTTAGCTATTACTTATTTTCTAAAACTTCTAATTCTTGCCAGTAGAGGTATTTAAAATTAGCTTTATGTACATGTCTAGTAGGAGCCTTCAGCTTTCTCTGTACATTTTCTAAAAGTATTCAGTCTGTATTTTGTCTCTTGAAAAGTACTAAGAATTCCTTTTAGTCTGCTAACATTCTTGTGCATTAAGCAAAATCTTTATTTCCTTAATAAATGAAAGGTGGATGGTTCAAGTCCGTGTTTTGAAAAAATATTTTTCACGTCAGCCTTGATATAGGGAGACATGTTTGTGCATTTTTGTAAATGTCTGTTATATGTTTTATGTATGCTAGCATGCTTAAGAGAGGGCAGTTGATCTGGGAGATTGAGTTAAACAGTACTAACAAATGTGTTTTGTCATGTGCGAGTGACTTGGGAACCCTTGGTAATAACTTTCTGGAGAAAGTGACATCATGGGCTTGGCAGAGGGAATAGAAGTTCAGAGGCCTTGGCATGTAAGAGCACAGCGCCAGGAGCTGAATGAAGTTCAGCATGCCTGTGGTGTTGTGTGTACATGGAATTAGCGAGGTCAGAGAAGGGAGCAGGCTCTTGTCCATGAAGGGCCTTTAAGATAGTGAACATACTATATATTTTAGGTTCAAATTGGGATACTTTGAAAGAAAAAGTAAACACTCTTGATAATTATGGTAGATAATGGGCACATTGGGACTGTTCCCAGGAAAGTCAAGGATGTTGTTGTTGCTTGTGAGCTGTGGGATGTAGTGTAAGTTTATCTCAAGGACATAGGGTTGTTGTATCTTTGTGGCATTTGGTGGGGCTTTATTATAAAATTTATGCTTTCTGAGCTTTTTCTTTAAGAAAATATTGTGAAAAGGCATTTAAGTCTTCTTCTGTCTTTATGATTTAATGGGCTTTGTAGAATGCCCCAATTTGGAACAGGTGCTTCTGCCATCACACAGAGGAATAGATTCTAAACAGAAAAATTGTTAAAGTTTGCTTTAGAATATATGTTTCTATTATATTATACCTTGGATAGCTATCATTTTGCCCTATCACATTAAAGGTGATAGAAGTTATGATTATATAATTTGGAGATAGATATTAGATCAGACTTTATCTTAATCATACTGGACCCCACCCATCCCATATTTAACATCTGTTGAATAATGCTTTAAGTGCTTAGTGTGTACTGGGCATGGTCCCAGGAACAAGTACTATATAACTTTGTTAGTATAACTGTATAGCTTTGTTATCTCCATTTTATGGATGAGAAAACTGAGACTGAAGTGCTGTCATGCTTAGGGTCATATAGATTCAAACCCAGGTCTTCTGACTTTGGAAGTCTGTACAAAGCCAGTACATTATACTATTTTCAGTGATACTATTAACTTTGGACTTAGTGAAAAAATTGGGAGTATTTTTACATTAGATTTTTAAGTATTTTCACTGTGATTTTTATGTTTTACAGCCTGCAAAAATACGTTCGGGAACAGATTCTATTAGCAGTAGCAGTAATTGTAAAACGAGGATCATTAGATAAGTCAATTGACTGCAAAAGCATTTTTCATGAAGTCAGCCAGTTGATAAGTAGTGGCAATCCCACTGTGGTAAGTATGCTCTTTATAAGTACTAGAAAAGTAGTATGGATATTTACATGAAAGAAAAATTATTTAAACTAATAAATAATTTTCATTTGTTCACATTTTCTTTCTCTTTTTTTGGTACTGGGGATTGAACTCAGGACCTTGCACTTGCAAGGTAGTAGCGGTGCTACTGAGCTAAATCCCCAGCCCTAATCTTTTTTGATATTTAATATATTTTGCCTTTTCTTTTGTTCTGTTTTTCTTTGTTGCCAGTGTTCATAATCATTGCGTTAATTGGTTACAAAATAGACAGTCCAAGATAAATCATGTAAAAGTACAAGATCCCAATGATGAATATAGCTATTGTATACCTAAAATGCACCAGTAAATTTAAAAAAGATAAAACAAAATAGATGGTAATATGCCATAATATTCTTAACCATTTCTATGAACATTCCTTCATTTTTAATAAACCTTAAACAAGTACTAATGATATCAATTAAAAATTTTGTTTGTTTGTTTGGTTTTGGGTTTTTGTTTGTTTTTCTTTGAGATAGGATCTCACTTTGCAGTTCAGGCCCATGCTGCCTCAAACTTGAGGCAGTTCTCCTGCCTCAGCCTTCCAAGTACTGTGCCACCATGCCTGGCTCAACAAAACTGTTAGCAGTTGCTATGCTAGTAGACCACAAATGTCATGACTTCCATGTGTCATTGTCATGTGAACCAATGTAAGACCATTGTTCTTGACTGAATTAATCTGGAGAGCATGATTTTTCCTCTGTCATTTTCTCATCCACCTGTTAAGAGAACTAAAGTCATGCCTGAGGAGTGGATGTGGGGTTGTGATCACTCATGTCAGAGGCAGAAGGAACAGGAATTGGTGTGGTATAGTTAGCTATGGTCCTTGGATTGAACTGTTGACTTTTATCAGCTAAATGGTATTTATCGCATTTAAAAATGGGATGGGTAATGCGTGGCCATTCTGATTCTCAGGTGTTAAATCTTCAATTATTTTGGGTAATATTTTTCACTTTCATGATTTCTTGAATCACTTGAGAGATATGTATGTGAGGCTATCCATCTTACTATTGTATATGAATTCCTTTACATTGTTACAGGCCCCCTCAGTAAGAAATGTCTTTATTGTATTTTTAGTAATTTATATTTGCTGAGCTGGAGATCAGACTGAGGCCTCAAGTGTGTGATTTTTAATGATATTTGATAGTTTGAGGTTAAGAGATGGTGGCACATTTTAGTAAGGCTGTGTACATTATCCCTATGTTGATTCCAATATCTTTTTCCTCCTCCCCTCTAACCTTTATTGCTAGTTGGCTATGCACTCACCTTACTGCTTCAACACCCCCCCACCACCAGAATGACATACCAGGAATCTAGAGTAAAGGAATTGGTAAACAAGCTTGTTAGGACTTTGTTTTTGATTGTGTGGATACTGTGTGTTATTTGCCATTTTTGTTGCAAATTTCACGTGGTGCTGACCACAAATGTTCTGTATCTGTGCTTTTCATTATATAGTTACTACACCAATGCTACCTGTGTGGCATTTTAACACTAGAAATGTGGCAAGTATGACCAAAGATTGAAACTTTTAATTTAAATTCATAACCACATGTAGTTAGTGGCAACTATATTGGACAGCATGATTCTAGACTTTAGTAATTTAAAGGTCTAATTTTTCCCCTTTTTAGTATTTATTTCATTGTGGTTTATTTTTTATAGTGAGAAGAATTCTTGAAAATGATCCCCTAATAAGTTCATTTCCTTTTTTTCTTTCTTTCGTTCTTTTTTGTGGTACTGGGATTGAATCCAGGGCCTTTACACTGAGCTGCATTCCTGGCTCTTTTGTGCTTTTATTTTGAGATAGGCTCTCACTAAGATGCCCAAACTGGGCTTGAATTTGGAATCCTCCTGTCTCAGTCTCCAGCTATGCTGGGATTGTAGATGTGTGCCATCATACCCAGCTGGGGGACTGCTATTTACTTAGATCATTCTGTCAGCCTGAAGATCTCTCTATTGGTCAAGGCCACCATTTCTGATGAAGCTTTGCTTCTGCTATTGCTGCTTCAGTCATGGCTGCATTGTCATTTGTGTAAATTTTGATAGTATTTGCTCCCAAATTAGTGGCTATGTGCAATCTATGATGGTGACTACCATAGAGGGCTGAGGGGAAAAGTGGTAGATACAGCTAACAGGGAAAAGGTTTGGAACTAAGAGTCCTTGGAAATCCTGTCCTATGCTAAATGCTCTGAATCAGGTTACTCTTCATTTTTTTTTCATTCATTTTATTTTATTGTCTTTTATTCATAAATGATTCTGTTATATATATAAGTACATTATCCTGGGGAATTGGTACATATACATATCAAATTTTTATCCTTTTTACTTCCCCTTCCCCTCCCTTTGCTCCCACTTTTACCCACCCCTATATTCCCTTCCCTTCTCTACAAACTGTCTCCCTGTTTTCTGTCATTTATTACTCATTTATTTATACTTTGGGTTTCTCATATAACAAATCATGTGATATTTAACCTTCTGTGTCTGATTCATTTTATTTAGTATTATGGTCTCAAGGTTCATTAATTTTGCTACATATGATCAAATGTATGCTTCTTTGTGACTGAGTATACTCCATTGTTTATATATACCACAGTCTATCTATTCATTTGTTCACGGTCATGTAGGCTGCTTCCAAAACTTAGCTATTATGAGTTTTGCTGCTCATAACATGGGTATCCATGTATCACTGTAATATATCTTCTCATATTTTAGGTTTTGCTTGAGGATATCTTGTTTCATTTTGACAGTCTTGCAGTAAAAGTGTCATGCTCGTTGGGATGGACAGGATTTAAACTTGAGGAATTTTATCAGTGATGCTAATATTTCTCTGTGACTCACACCCTTCCCAGGGTAGTTTGATGATCTTTCCAGCTAGGATTTTGGCATTAATGTCTCTGGCCTGCCTTCATCACCCACTCAGATGCTGCAAGCAAAAGATAGTCTCCCTTACTCTCAGGAATGAGCGTGTCCTCAGGAATTTAGTTCTCCTTCCTTTCCCTTGGGTAATTTGATCTCGTACAAGAAAGACCACCATAACCTGGCAGTTGGATTTTTTTGAGCTACCAAAGAAACTTAACATTCTGAAAATGATTGGAACAGATATAGTTTAGTTTTTTCTATGTTCATGGTGCATATACTTTGAAAAGAGTGGTTACATTTAATGTTCTTATGAAATACTCTAAATAATTTATTTTAAAAAATAAAATTTGAATACAAAGCCAAGAACTTCAATAGTAGTAGGAAATCAATAGTGTGGATGAGTGGAATTTAATTTCAAGATTGTAGGGTGACTTAATTTGGTGACCACGTTGAAAACATTACATTTTAAAAGTTTTTTTTGTTTTTTTGTTTGTTTGTTTGTTTGTTTTTTTGAGACAGGGTCTCACTATGCAGTTGAGACTGACCTGGAACTCACTATGTAGCCCAGGCTGGTCTTGAACTCACAGCGATCCTTCTACCTCAGCCTCCTGCGTGCTGGGATTACAGGTGTGCACCACCACGCCTGGCTAAAGTTTCTTTGTTTTTATGTGACCAAATGAAATGTGTGTACTGTGGCGGTCCTGTTTGTTTTTGCCCAGTAGTTTGAAATTAGCTCACTCAGGAGGTCTGAAAAAATGAGATTATAGGCCAATAAAACATGTTACTATATCTCCTTTTAGACTGTTATAAATTCGTGGGAGCAAATTAAGAATTTAAGATTTTTTTAGTTTCGGAGACATGAGTAGCAATAGAAGAAAGGGTTAGAAACTCAGAAAGTAAAACAATAAAAATCATCAGAACATTAATCAAGTATTAGCCAGACAATTTTTAAAAATGGTGATTTCAAGAGATATTTGAAAAGAAGTTAAATCTATGGAAAAATCATTCAGTGACCATTTTCTGGCCATCTTACTGGCCAGAAACTGCATATAGTCTCACTTTTCCCTCCCTTTTGAAGCATATTCAGTCCTGGTTGTCCATTCTCTTGTATTAGTCTAATAAACATGTTTAGAAAGGCTTAGAGGCAGTGCAGTATAATGAAGGCTGATTTGGTGTTTAGACTTAATATTTACACTATAGCTTTGACTACCTACCTAACTCAAATTATTAAACTTTAGGTATTAATTCCCTAATATGTCAACTAAGTGTGATAGTATTTCAGGGCTGCCCATTCAGCCAGTGTTTATGCTCATCTTTCTAGTGGCCTCCCCTTTTTTTGTAGAATTTTGGTGAAGTGAATTATAACAAGTCATCTCTATCCAATTACTTTAATTATTGAAAAGGAGGAGAAAGTATCCATAAGTGAAAAGTAATTATTTGTGTATTTTAAAAAAAACTAATATATTTGCTTTCTTTTATTTATTTATTTATTTATTTATTGGTCCCGGGGATGGGACGCAGGTCCTTTCGCTTGCAAGGTGGAACCACTGAGCTAAATCCCCGGCTGCTTTCCTTTAAATGCTTTAAGAAGGAAGTATCTTAATAGTTGAAGTTCTCTCATAGTTTTTTGGAAAGATTGCATTTAATTTATGAAACCATGTCTAAGGAAATATTTCTTAGCAAGGTTTTCCATGTATCTTGGTATATTTTTAGTGCAATCATGCTTGTATAATTATTACATCATATTAAATGTTATTGAAATGTAAATTATTAATTTTAATTAAAGTAATGGTATTATATTTACATGATTATATAAGTTGTGTGTTTATATAATTATATATTAACTTATAATTATAATAATTGTAACGTTTTTATTAAATTTTTCATGCCTGTCTTTATGGGCACACTGTTTATCTTCCACAATTACAAATGTTGCTGTGGTTATCTCATCTGAGTTGGCAAGTATCAGAACTACTTTGAGTACTAGTTTTAGAGAGATAGGGAAACTGTTCTTCCTGAGAAGGTAGCCATAGTTTTATTTTAATCTAACATTTAAACTAAAATTTTAATCTAGTTCATGTTTTTATTTC